TATGAGACAGACACAAAAATGCATCTTGCCACTGAAGAAAGCTGAGATGGTAGCTGAGCATTTTAATATTTTAAAAAAAAAGGCAGATAAAACCTTTTTATTGTTACTGAGGGTCTTCTCTAAAAAGCATTAGTATATCACTGTAGAATTATTTATCATTGTAATGGTAATGAGGGAAGAGCCTTTTCCATTCTCATCAATCTGGCAATGTCCCAATGTCCTTTCTGGTTGTCTCTTCTGCCATTCTGTAGACTTGAATGTTTGACCTCTTCTGTAATGTTGGATAAGATATGCAGTAATGAAGATAGCCTGGTTTTATGAAGGTCATTTTAATCATATGAGTGGATCAGCTAATGACAGCCTGCATGAAGGGTAAAAGCACAGGTTTTGATCCACCTGTGAGGAACTGGTGAGGGGATTAACCCTCTTTCTCCTTTGCATTTCATAGGAAGGAAATTCTGTGTGCTGTTAACCGCTGAAGAAGGGTAACAGCTGGTGTTTTCAGAGCCGTTGTTTTAAACTGCATCCCTCTGACCAGTTGTTTGTTCTAGATGAGCGAATTCTTGAGGGCCAGATGGAAAGCAACTTGGCATTTTCAGAAGCATGAACTGCTTTTTGGTTCTTTATACTTTGGCATGTCTATTCTTGGCATTTTTATATAGTCTATTCGGGCCAAGCTATTAATTAGCAGCAGTGCACCTTTGATATAGAGGTGATGACTGGGACATCCTGGACAGATTGGATGGAGTTCTTCTGTGTTTGAAAGCATATACTAACTGGTTTTTATGAACAAGATACATGTTTTGAGTAGATGTTAAAGGACTTATGGGGACATAAGGAAGAGTCGTTGCAGCTGAATGAAGTAATATTTTTTTCAAGAAGCCTGGACTGCAGTTGGACTATGTCCAGAATATGGGGATGCCTGAGACATATTTTTGCTTCTCATTAAGTAGTGTTTGCCACTGCAAAGCACCAAAGGAATATGCACTAGTCTGCCTCATTTGAGTTTGAAAATGAGAGGTAGTGGTCAATTCTGTATGATATATATAGTTCCTTAGAGGGCATTAAGAAAGGGAATGGAATGACCAAGAAGACTAGAGACACCAACAGAGGTGATGCTCTGGCAGCTTTACTATTAAGTTATTTCTACACTAGAAACTTTCTTATTTTTTCCTGTTAGGCTATCTTTTACTCTTGTCATGCATAAAGAATAAATAAATTGCAGAAATTACCTAATGCCCAACTGCCATCTCATCAAAAGTATTGCAAATAGAAAGTGCTTCCAGGCATCCAGCTTGTAGCATTGCTGCAAGAGTCTTTTATCATAAAAGACTGTCACACAAAGGGAAGATATAAATCTTTTGACTTTTTTTCTGTCCAGTGAATCTTCTGCTTTGATTCCTCCTACATCTGCATTATTCTAGTTGAAGGGTGATGTAGGCGCAGATAGCTTGAAAGGAAAGGAAAAAAGAAAACAACAAGCAAGCCCAAACCCACAAAACTACAAAAACCCACCAGCCTTGGTCTAAACACTTGGTTCTGAGTGTAAGCTGTAAGACTATAGAAATGCCTTGCTGGGTGGGTAGGATATAGTACTTAGGGAAAGCATTATCCTTCTGCTACTTGTTGCCCATTTGCCTTCTATTTTCCCTAGCCTCTACAACTGTTGGATTAGAAATCTTCAACTCATATTTTAAAAATCTAATCAAACATAAATGTCTATGTAGTAACAGCACATGTAGTAATCATGCTCAATGAATTGAAGTTTGTCATCCAGATGTAGGAGTCCCTCTATACACAGTTCCTGGAACTACTCAGAATTCAGTGGGAGCTTACACAGGGAGCAGCAATTCATTTGCACACTGTCAGCTGGAAAATGTGGGCACAATTTTGCTTCTTTTTAGATCAACCCACCTGCTGCGTAAATATCTTGAAAACATTTGAAAACAGTTAAATAGAGTAAAATAATACTTAGTTAACACTTTTTTTTTTTTTTAAACTCATATCATTGGTTTGGAAAACTTACCCACATGCTCTTGAGCATACTCATGTATTGGGTTTTGTATGTGGTTTACATGGGTAACCATACCAAAAGAAGCCAATGCCCATTGTTGCATATAAACCAGAGATTTGTGAGTGAACAAATGTATTAAAGACTCCTAATTTTTTTTCTTTTTTTACTGATCAAATTTAAATTGGCATCTGAAGTGCTTGTTTTTCAAGCTTATTAGCCCAAACTATTGACCAGTTACTTTTAAATAGGAATCTCATTTGTAGACAACCTTATTCATTTGGAAAAAGAAGTTGGAAAGTTGAAATTTTCTACTTATTTATTTGTGAACTGGTTAAGCTACATTTTCTGAGAATCTAGTTGTATAACTTCTGTTGGTATTACAGTTCTGTTTTAAAAATGTTACAGTGGGCATCAAGATAGCAATGACAAGCCACGCCATCTCAATTTGGCTGACCCCTATTTTGGCAGGCTAGGGTTGAAAAGTGGGAACTAAAAGGTCAGCAACTGCTTTTCAGGTGTCATTATAAAAAACACACTGGTCCAGATGAACTTCTTCCTAACTGGGAAATGACTGTGTGGAACTGTAATAGCTGATGCAGTGTGTTTTGATGTAGGCATCCAGAGACATCATTTTGTGACGTGCTGGGATGCACTCACTGATGTAAATCTAGCATAACTTCCTGGGACTCTATTTAATAGAGTTTTGCTTGTCTGGCTCCAAAGAACTTAAGCTTTTTGGCCATAATCTGGCTGCCTTGTACAGCTGGATTTATGTTCATGGTACAGTGTGACTTTGGCACATGAGTGATCAACTGAGAGGTTATGGGTTTCTCCTGTTAAGGAGATACTCTCTGTAATTGCAATATATGACTCCCTATTCTTTTAATCCAAGAACAACTTTTATTTTTCACTTCATTGTAGCAAAACTTTTTTTCTTCTTTCTCTGTGGTAAAATTGGTTAGCAATGGGCTTTGTTTGAAAGGGTATAAAACTTGTTTTTTATTAACGTGAATTACATGATGCTCTGATGAGAATAAATGAATTAATGTTGCTTTGGTCTCCTTCCGTGGGATTCCCCTACTACATCCATTATATCCTAGCTGAGAGAGACACCATCTTCTTTGCCCATGTTCCCCCTCCATAAGAAGTGGTTAAGGTGATGTTGCTAATTAGGCAGTGTGTATACTGTGGGCTATGTAAAGTCCCTGGACATTTTTCCTACCCCATCCTCCACTTCTGACTCACTACGTAATATGCTACTCTTACTTGCTAGTCCACACCATGACATAGATCAGGGTGGGCGATCCCCTTGTGCAGAGTTTCATTTGGAGATGTGTACAGTATTTTATTCTGTGTTACATAACCAGTCCATTAAAAAACAGTGAAAATAAATGCTGTTCTTGCGCTATCTGAATAAAAACGTTAATTTTCTTGTGTTGAAAAAAAAAAAACAGAGGAATAATCTGCATGTCTGATATTAGTTTAACCTGTGCAGTATGCTGAGCTGTAGCAGTGCCACCTTGTCCCTGTCCTGTCTACAATGTGTCTTGCTTTTTCTTTCTTGGGTTTCCCTTTTGCCAGTTTGGGCAATGGGCCCAGACCCCATGTGCAGCAAGTTCTACTGTCCTCATTCTGCATTCGTCTGATACATCTGGGTCAAAAAACACTCTAGTACTGTACTGAAGTGAGCATAGACACTTTTAATTTAGCACACACCATCATTTGACACGCTTACTATTTGACAAGAGTGCCAGTCTTGTGATTTGAACAATTAATGTTTTAAGTGGTTGCCTGTCAACTGTGATGGGTGAGCAGCAAAACTGGACAAATACAGGTAGCGCTATTTCCATTTTTCCAGGAGCATTGTTTTCAAGAGCAACTGTGTTTTTACCTTTTGCATAGACACTTTTAATTTAGCACACACCATCATTTGACACACTTACTATTTGACAAGAGTGAGGTGTGCCAGTCTTGTGATTTGAACAATTAATGTTTTAAGTGGTTGCCTGTCAACTGTGATGGGTGAGCAGCAAAACTGGACAAATACAGGTAGCGCTATTTCCATTTTTCCAGGAGCATTGTTTTCAAGAGCAACTGTGTTTTTACCTTTTGGAGAAGGGCTCCTCTTTCC